GTTTTGAGCGTTAGCCCTTCATCGGAGCGGATAGGGGAATTGTGGGTTGTGTGTGCTTTTAAAGGCAGAAAAAGGAGCTACGTGATTGGTGGGAACATGTCAACAAGAAAAACACAAATAAATTAGTGGAATGAAAATTCACTGGTGAATTAGTGATTTCACTAATTCACTAGTGAATTATTTCATTACCCCTAACCAACGCAGCCCCAAACAGTTTCTTTAGAAACTATCACCCTTTAAATATTTTGTGTGATTGCACCCACCCCTCCCCCCCCATCCCATAAAACTTTTTATCAATGGCAAGTTTAATTAAGTAGATACTCTTACCATCAGTAGGATTAGATTACTAGTTTCATGCTATCATGCATCTCAAACAAAATTGAAAGGTTTAAGAAACTGATAGTGTCAGGTTTTGCCATTCAAGCACTGGCCAACTGATTGTAGGGTTACATTGCCTATTAGGAAAGAAATACTCAAAGGAAACTCAGCTTATTTAACACTTTATGAAACCTTCATAAGAATTCTCCAAAATCATCCTTCACTGGTGAGTGGTTGTGCTTTTGATGAGAAAACTGGTGGTCTGCAAATTTTAATTCACCTAAATGGCTGAAAATACCATGACCTACTGAATTGAGTCATATGATTTGGCTTTTTAAAAAGTTAACTTTATTTTACAGGATGGTTTTTTGTTTGGAAGATGTTCCTTATTCGATTTTCCTTCATCCGGGAGTTAGTCTATGGTGGCAGCAATGGATCAGCTGGAAAAACAAAAAGTGATGTTCCACCTACATCCCCAAGAAGATCATCACGTATTAGAGAACTGAGAGCAAGAAAATCCTAAGATACACTGTCACTTCAACCTACACCACTACAACACATGTCTGAATCCATGTATGTTAATGTTGTTCTCAGGTCATACCTTGTTTCTTTAAAATACAGCTTGTACACGAGCAAAACATAAACTCCCCCCACCCACACAGTGCATGTTACGAGTCAAGAAGTTGTACTAGATTATGAGCATCTCAGTTTACCAACACATGAACAGTGGTCAGAACTTATACAGATGGTGATACACTGTGTGAGATGTCGGTGCCTCAGTACACAATGGACACATATGAGATGTTGGATGTCAGAGTGCTAGCACAACTCTGTTCATGTGACTTTTTTCTCTCTTTTTTTTTTTAACAAAAAATAGCTTCAAATTGTCAGGAGTATTTTATGCATGTTAAAAATGATTGTTAGTCACTCAATCCACTGGCTTACGACGAAGCCAATAATGGCAGCCAGCCCATAGTGTGTGTTTTCATGGTGGCTTGATGGATCACTTGAAAGGTCGTAGAGCCTGTACTGAAGAAAGCTTTATGAGGAAGTTTGAATGGGAAATGTAAAAATAATTTCTGATATTTTTTTCACTTTAGTCTACAACTTCTCAAGAGTTGGAAAATTTTGTCTCCATTTATTTTTCCCTTTTGGCATCCAAGTGTAATACACTGAAACGTGATACATGCTTGCATTTTGCTAATTATCCAATAAAGAAAGGGCGAATGAAGGTCAAACACTTGTAAACTCAGTCTGTTAATTTTAGGGTGTAGTTTCAATCACATTGGATTTGTTACTTACACAGCTTTTAAATTGAGATACTAAAAAAGGGTGCTTAGACAATACCACTTGTTGTTTAAACTTTCACCAACATCTTGTCATTTTTAACCTCTCTAGTACTGTGCTTACTTCTAAACAGAGGGTTTTGAGGGGGACAAAAATCTCAGAGAGAAAATGTTTTCAACTCTTCAGACCCAAGACCAAAATTCATTTGACTTGGAGTATGAGAGGTTTACTGCTTTAATTCAATTTCTCTTAATGTGCTCAGTCATCAACAGAGGGTTAAACAAGCTACATACTAAGATATGTGTGAAAGATTTAAAATCTCTCACATTTCAGTCTTTCAAGATCCTTCTGTCCTAACAGAGAAAGAAGATTTGACTTTTACCACTCTTTTTGAGTCAAGTCATCATTTTCTCCATCAATAAACTTTGGAAGGGAGCTTTGATCAGTTTCTTAGTTACTGCCTGCTTCCAGATTTCTCCCTGTTTTGGCATCACTCAGAGACAGTTTACACACAGAAAGAGATTTTTTAAAGCCAGTCACTGCTTATCTTTTAAATTTAAGTTTCCTCATAAAAGTCAAGGTGCTGTTTCAGACATTTTACAGGAGAATGTCTGCAGGAGTAGCTGAAATAATCATTAGCTTCAAAATGAATGAGATAGGGAACAGAAGATAATTTTAATATTCATCCACCTTACTTCACTACCAAAGCTTTCTGTCAAGTACTAGAAATATCAAAAGTATGTCTCTGTAAGTTATAAGCAATGTAAAATCAGCATAAAATGGTTCAGTACCAAACTAATACAAGTTGTTAAAAGTTAACCAGTGTATGGCAGTATCTATCAGTTCACACAGACATTTTGTGTTCCATGGATTTCTTAGGAATAATACTACATTCATTGCCTTTCAAATGCTTATGTTACAGTTTAACACAGCAAGAAACAAGCTATGATAAAGTTTTTTGATCGCCAGCTTTCTGTGCCTTGTCTTTCTCCATGACAAACTTGTTAACTCCTTCACGCAGCCACAACGTGGGTGCCAAAGCTACCTCAGTGTTTTGTAAGAAGAGCACACTGCTTTGCTTACTACAATAGGTCATGACATGTTCCACAGTACATAAATGGCTACAGTGGTGATCAAGTTTTTCTCTTTCCCTGTCTCATATCTCTTTCTCTTTCAAACTGCCTTTCATCAGTTCTTTGAAGAAATGCTTGCTTCTCTAAATATCTACAAGGGAAAAAGTGAAAAAATAATATAAATTATTTTGTAAAAGAGGTTGTGCTTGTTCATCCTGGTAAAGCACAAATTATACTAATGGTGTGAGTTGCAATGTTTCTACTGCATACTGCTAGTCTTCATCAGGAAATAAGGTAATAATAATAATAACACCTTTATTTAGACACAATAATGTTTAAAGCTGAACAGCTTGTGGGGTCGTGTGTAAATGCAAATAAACTCTAGATTAAATAAATTCAAATGATGATGGTTTTTGAGGAGAGGGGTAAACCAGAGTACCCGGAGAAAAACCTCTCGGAGCAGAGTACAGAACCAACAAACTCAATCCACTTGTGACGCCGGGTCTGGAAATCGAACCCAGGACACATTGATGGAAGGTGAGTGCTCACACCGCTATGCCAACCCTGCAGCCAAAACCAGGTCAACTGGTTTTGGCTGCCTGATCAATAATATGCGCATATTTTTTACCTCTGGCCCCCTGGAGCAATAGAGGTTTTGCACAGCAGCCATGTTGCATGACAGGAACAATAGATTATTTTTCCCATGGGAAAAATTTTTCTTTCTTATGTAAAATATTTTCATTGTTCCTGCCATGCAACATGGCTGCCATACAAAACCTCTATAGCTCTTACTCCTCTTACTCCAGTTCTGCGTGCGTGGTTTAACAGGAAAACGGTTCCCTATATTAGGGAATGCGAAAGCGAGGCTATTGGGTCAAGCTTTCCTGAAGATTACAAGACTATCAAAGTAAATTATAAGCATGGGCGTCCAAAACACTTAATCATTTCCAAAATCAGCGTTTTTATCAGCCGAAGAGAAAGAGAAATTGTTAGGCACCAATTTTTAAGTGATTTTACAAAAGAAAGGCAGAAGGAATGGCTTTCGTATCGGCACACTGGGTAACCAGCTTAATGTATTTGCAGCACTTATCCTTTTCTAAATATATTGTTGTAAGTGAGGTGGCCTCTCCGTAGACCCCATGGTTTCTTGGGTCCCCTTGACTTCTATAAATTCTAATACTGTAGATGATTTTTCGGTATTGTTATTGTTAGAAAGCCAAGTTTTCTTTAAATAATCTGACTGATTGACACAAGTCTTTACCGTGTTGTTGTCACAATTATTTGTTCGTGTCTGAAGCTTTTATGGTCATTGCTGATGTTTATCTTGTTTTATTAACCTTGAGATCCTTATGAACTTTGTTGGAAATAAAAAGAATTGTTTTTTACTAAAGATATTGCCTAGAAAGCTGAGTTTTCTTAAAAAAATTTGACCAATTGACATGATGAGTCTGTTGTTGTCACACAATAACTATTTATTTATTAAACTTCCACTGAGTTAAAAAAAAGTAATAAAAATATGAAGGATAAATAAGCTCAATAGTAAAACGAAATTTGAAAAGCAAAAAGCTCAGTGAGGAGCAATCACAACAGAGCAAGCTCCAACTAGGTGAAAGTCCAAAAGAAAAAAAAATTGGTAATACAAGACTAATTTAATATGTCTTAAAAATATCCATATAAAATATGCGTAAGTATAATAGTTTATAAGTAATTAGAAGCAACACTGGCAGAAACCAATTAAATTCCTGGTGCCAAAGCATTTAGGACACAAGGACTTCCAAGTAAAAACATTTTCCTGATCAAACGTATAAGAGCTTTTCTGTAACATTTAATTAATGATCCTTTGAAAGAAATAACACTAGGTAAGTTCTTAATGACAAAGGCAAAGAATTCCATAATTTAAGAGTTTTGTTGAAATAGCTATGTTGAAAAAGAGAAGTTCTACATTTCAAAGGCTGATAATCTAAGGGACAACTATTACGAGTAGATCTAACTATTACTTTGGGCTGAATAAACTCTGTAATATCAATGTTATATATGCCATTAATGGCCTTAAAGAAAAAAACTAAATCTCTGATTTCATGCCAATATGACACTGGCAATAGGTTCAGTTTAATAAGCCCGGTCTTTGTAGGGAATAAGGGCGTCAGGATACTCTAAAATATACTTTGTTGCTCTACGTTGGACTGCTTCGACTTGTTCGCGTCTGCAGCTGTTATAGTAATTGGTGATGTTTACCTTTCTTTGCTCGCCATGAGTTCCTTATAAACTTTGTTGGAAGAAAAAAAATTGCTTTTTTACTGAAGACCGTTTATTTTTCTATACGTTTGACTTTTAATAAGTTGTACTGAGTTTAAGACCGACTCGCCAACGTCTCTACTCGATTTTATACGTCGGCGAGTTGGCGTTGGCGAGTTGAACAGTTGACGACTTGACTGTAGTTACACTACATTTAAGCCCTATACTGGTGTTAAATTGTATCATTGAGCAAGACACTATTTAAACAATAGAGTGTTTCTGTCGAGGAACTATCGGCTGATAGTTGCCCCGCAGAAATTTGATGTTCTTAAAACAAATATGCTAGTTTTAAGGACATCAAATTTCCAAGGGGCAACTATCAGACCGATAGTTCCGAGACATAAACACTCTATTGTTTTTATTGTTCACCACTAAATTTTCTTCCACATCTACAGCTTGTCACAAATGTCAATAATTCGCAACTGTACATTGGCTAAATAATACGTTATACCTGTCAGAATTGAAAAGTCACTGTTTTTCCGATCTGCCTAACTTTGCGGCTGTCAAACTATTCAAAACTTTTCACAGATGAGTACTATCAAACCAGGTATTTTCCGCGGACAGGCACTATCCATCGGGGTATTTTCCGCGGGCGGGCACTATGGGCTGATAGTTTCTCTCCACGGATGAACACTATCGCGTCACGTGATCGATTTAAACCAATAAGAACCGGAGAAAATTTAGTGGTGAACTCAGTATATAGTTCTCACATTATATCTCCCCCCAGGAGTATAAGTGACTACCACTAAAATGTTTGGTAAAGTGAAATGGGAACCTGGCCAGGGTACCCTGGAATGAATTGGCATCCTGTCCAGGGATAGTGAGTTGGGCCACCTCGTTTGTGTACACACCTCACTTTACCATTAAGTTAAGATAGTTTTTTTACATGGAGAAATAACCAAAACAAAATGTACAGACCCGTCTTTGTTATAATTCTGAAGCTCCTGGTGAATTCCTTCCTGATCTTTAAATGTTTCCCAATCCAGCTTTGACTTTTCCTAAAAATAACCAATTGAGATTTATTGACCTCCCTAAATTTAATGCTTCTTTTTTAAAAAAAAATTAAGATGCGTTTTTCTTCAATTTGATTGATGCAAAGAGATTATCACAACCACAAGGGGTTTGTTGATTTTTAGAAACTAGCACCAACTCTAGCTCATTTTGTGATGTGAAAAAAATAGATTTATTTAATAATTAAAAAGAATGACAGAAAAGCACAAATTATTATCATGCACTACAACACTTGAAGCTCACTGGGTAATTGGTTTACCAATATTACATGATTACTTCACCAATAGACTTGTTTTCTTACATCTCTAGATAACTAATAGACGGGGCTTACGGTATTTTACGAAACCAAACGAAACATTAATCGATAAGGAAATTACTGTTCACTGAGTTAACGATACCACTAAGATTTATTCCTTGCTTTCGAAACCTGTCCTTGCTAGATGCCTTGTTTTGCAAAATACCAATAACGGCCGATTGGTAATCAACGAAACAAGGTTCGCAGACAATTTCTTTAGGCGTTCTGCTTACGAAAATTATCTTGCTAGAAAAAGCAAAGACAGGCTAAAATACGCGACAAGAAATTATTCCTTCTTTTCTCGTCTCGTCTCTTCTTGTCTCGTTCTGTTCCATTCCATTTCGTTTCATTTCGTTCCGTCTCATTTTGTTTTGTTTTGTTTTGCAAAATACCGTAAGCCAATAGACAGTACACGATCAAGATAAATCAATAAGTTAACATAACGGTAGCCAGTCTACTTGCCCACTGACCAAGTTGCACATATAATGAACCAACTCGCATATGTCCTTAAATATACTCACACCCTAAATATCACCTTCCTACACACTTAAATACTGCTTATTTCACCAAGTTGTCTTCTGTAAGCTTCGTGTTTCACATCAAACAATTCTCTGCATGACATGCTCGATCTACCTGTCACACATTGAGCACTAAAGGTACCGGTAATAATAATAAAGGTTTGGATTTCAGAAAGGAGGAGAAGCCAAACAAATATTTATGAAGCATGTGGGACAAAAGTGTTCAACAAACCTAGGAAAGCATCAAACAGAAGGGTAAATTGAATGGACAGCAAAACGTGTTGAGCTTAGTTGGACAAAATCCTGTGCAATCTGTTTCTCATCTAGAGATCCTTGAAACTTTTTTTGAGTAGTTATTGAGCTTTTAGATGTTCGCAAGTTCATGGAAATAGTTATTTTGCTCTTTTCAAAATTTGTATGGAATGAGTTTTCCTGTCATCAACACTAGCTATTAACATGGGTGTTAGCCCACCTTTTTTTTGTGTTGAAATTTAAAGCTCAGAGTTTTGTATAGTTTCACAGTGGTTGATGTGATTTCATTCCTTGATTTGACTTTAGGCTTTCTCGGATTTGTGGTCACTGTAGCTTTCAGCCAGGTTTATTTTTCGATAATTTGTGTGACGCGATCTTGAAATTGTGGCATCACAGCATCTAGCACCAGCGACTGATTTTTGGGATTTTGGAAATATAATTATGAGGAAACTCTTATGTCATTTTTCCACAGAATATAATTTGGAGGCTCTACGCGATCTTCACAGTATCAAAGTTTTTCATTTTCCTCGGAAATTGTGTACTATGTGACTTTCCTGCTCTACACCACTTCTCATAAAACATCCCCTACTTTTCAATTTAATTTTTTCCTGAAACGAAAAGAAAATTGTAATAGCAATGGCATAAGGTATAAGAAAATAAAATTTTACAATATTAACTGGTTCAGAATAGTCAATAAACTATTTGAGATGTGATGATTTTCATTTGTTTAACATGTGATATTTGGCGTGAGTGAGTTGGTGGGTGGGCAAGTTGACTGTAAACCCCCATAACACTGATCACATATTTTATGCTTACCAGAGTACTCATTTTTGGCTTCTTTGAAATTTGACCCAGTACACTGGTAAGACCTCCTTTTCTCTTGAATCTGAAATATACCACCTGAAAAAGTTACTAGACAAGTATAAACTGGCCCAAACTAAAAACTTTTAGAACGTTGCCTGTGAAATGCAACAAACAAATTTTAGCTTTCTTTTCTGTCATATTTTTCTTAACTGAAACTTTTTCTTAATGGCTACTCTTAAGTAGTTACCCAAGAGAACCCAGATCTCTGACAGCAGGTTTCACATGAGATTCTGTTTTCTTGACTTCGTCTTTCTTAATATTTTTTGCTTCAGTGGAATTGGCATCTACAGTCTTGGTGACTCTAAAATACAAAATTCACTTCTATAAGGGAACACTGTGACAAGTCTAAAATTTAGCCATTTAATGCAGGTTTAGCCACAGAATGGTTGGGTGTTATCAACTAACTTCAGTAAAGTTGGTGTAGGTGAGAGGGTGGGAGGTGCCGGCTCACAGTGGGACAACTTTAAATCTACCAATTCTGGTTACAACTCTTTTACAGTAACTACCTTTTTGCAAGTATGATAAATATTGTAAGAAATAGACAACTTTTTTGAGACATGTTTCGGCATGCTTATGCCATCTTCAATCAATGAGTAACTGAACGTGAGTAATTATAATAGCATACAAGTAGATGAATAAAATATTTACAGTATGATAACAAAAGCGGGCACTAATTACAACGTGACACCAAACATCAAAGGTGTAAACTAAAACGCTAGAAAAGTGTTATAATGCTGTAATTGTTTGTTAAGTTCAGGTTTGGTCTTATTTATATAAAAAGCTTCTTTGAGTTTTAAATCAATTGAGTTGTTAGCAGAATCCAGAATACTAAAGCAAGAAAGGGAGTATTTGTTCTTACAAGAAGGAGATGTGTTGAAATGCTTAAAAATATGCGAGTTTTTATCACTTTTTGTGTGCTCCTTTATCCTAGTAGAGAAGCCCAGGGGGGTACTCCCTTATAAGGGCTTAATGGGGACGTGCGGCCAGCCAGGGTATGTTTTTCGAGATTTTTGTCTTAAACAGGGTATCGAATTTATCATTTTTTGTCTTAATCAGGGTATTGATTTATCAATTTTTGTCTTAAACAGGATATCTTGTCTTGGAAGATAAACAGCAAAATTTTTACAAGCTCTAATTTTAATTAAGATTGAATTCCGTTGATTTTGACATTGATACCAGGCACATTAAATGTCTTAAACGGGGTATCAAAAATCGGAATTCTGTCTTAAACAGGGTCAGGGTATGAGGGGCTGCGCCGCACCTCCTTACCCAGGAATATATCGAGTACCCCCCCCCGTAGAGAAGTGGCGAGTAGTTTCGCCAATATAACGGGAATTACAACCCGCACAAGAAAATTGTAAACTACCATGGATTTTAGAGCATCAGGAGTACGATCTTTAACACTGAACATGTTTTAAATTTTTAAAGAAGTGAAAACTAGTTTTATTTTAAGGTCCAATTTGCAAAAGTGCTTAGTGAGTTGTCGGAGTTTATGGTTCGCTATTTTAGAATAATAGCCGACAAAAGGGAGTTTAAAGTAACGTGTATTATTGTCATCAATGTTCCAGCTACTTTGAGAGGAGGACCCATCAAGATACCACTTGAAAGTTCTGTCAATAATATGCGGAGGAAAAGAATTACATTTTAAAGGGTCAGAAAGTTTATTAAGATCGTTTTGAAGGCTGGAAGAGGTGTTGTTGATTTTGTAGATACGGTCAATAAGAGTTCGGATAAGGCCAATTTTGTAACATGATGGAATAAAACAAAAGAAATTTGTTAGGAGACCAGTGTTAAGTTTTTTTATGAAAAACTGAAAAAACACAATCATTTGAAGAGTTGGCGATAAATATATCAAGAAAGGAGAGTTTACCATCATTCTCTTTATTGAAAGTGAATTTTATGTTGGGGTGCCGTGAATTAATAAAATCAAAAAATGACATAGCATCCTGTTCATTGTGGAAGACACAAAAGGTGTCGTCAACATAACGCCTATAAAGTAGAAGGCGAGTCGAATGGTTAAAACTATTTAGCCATGTTTCCCCATGGAAACCAAGAAAAAGATTAGCTAGGATGGGTGCTAACGGAGAACCCAGCACTACCCCATCAACTTGATTATAAAATTTTCCATTAAAAAGAAAATGAGTCTCAGCTGTAGCCAATGAAAACAATTTCTTAAATAAGATCAACAGCAATATCGATAGTTTCATTTAACCGAATATTGGTAAAAAGACTTTCAACATCAAAGGAAATGAGAAACTTGTTGTTAAGATCGAAACTCCTGAGCTCTTCAACAAAAGAGAATTAATCTGTGACCGAATACTTACTAGGTAAAAGTGGAGCAAGAAGAGAACGGCTAAATTATAATTAAAAGCTCCAATATAGAAGAGAGATTTTACAATTGCAAAGTTTGCATTTATGTCGCTCTATAGAGACAAATGAAATTTAGCAAAAATGTCTCTTTGTATATATTACAGAAGCAAAGGACTTTGCAGTTAATTAACTGTGAAATCTTCGTCTATAAGGAAATCAGGTACTTCGCGATTAATTAACTGCAAAATATTCGTCTCAATATATTAAGGCATCAGTGACTTCGCCATTAATTAACTGCGAAATGTTCGTCTACATACATTAGGAAATCAGGTACTTTGCGATTACTTAACTGCAAAATGATTCGTCTCAATATATCAGGGCATCAGTGACTCTGTGATTAATTAAATGCAAAATGTTCGTCTACATATATAAGGAAATCAGGTACTTCACGATTAATTAACTGCAAAATATTCATCTCAATATATTAGGGCATCAGTGACTTCGCCATTAATTAACTGCGAAATGTTCGTCTAAATATATGAGAGAATTGGTGATTTTGCGATTAATTAACTGTGAAATGTTCATGTTTTTCCTATTTCTCATTGTAGGATGTTTGGTAATTTCTGCTCAGCTCGGCTGGGACCCCCATGAGTTGTAATTAAGCCATTCTTACAAAGTTTTCGTTTGAAGTTCACTATTCGTTAGAGTTGTCACGTAGGTATGCTTATACAATATGTCTAGAATTCGCTGTATTTCCACGATTGGTAAATCCAAAAAGGCTGCAGATTTAGTATCTAAAAGTGAACAATCAAGCTTCTACTCAGTTAATGTTAATCTTAGTGTGTGCAAGGGTGACGTACTTAAGAGAGAGAACTTAGGGATACCATTAGCGATAAGGGAAAAAACAATGTTAAACCTTGGAGTAAATACGACATGTAGCAGTTGCAATAACAGTGCAGAGCCTTGGTATCTCTACGCTAAGGCTATCGTTTGAGCAAAATTTAACAAATTGATGAACTAAAAAAGGAGGTTACAACAGGGGGTGACAACTCTAACAAGGCCTGTTTAGGGAGAAAAACAAAAGAATCGAGAAGACTCGGGATTTTTGATGGGAAATATGACAGTTCTGGGATACTGCAGAAAAAAAGAGCAAAGTTTTGACATTTTACAAGAATGTCACTGAAACACTCGGAAGGATCTTCAAAATTTCCGGGAGGAATCAAAGTTCCACATGGTGTTGCTCAAACAACTTTTGTTAGAGTTGTCACTCCCATGATTTAACTCTTTTGGCACAGTGCCCCATTATGTTAAAAAGAACAAAAAAAGCACTACTCTAAAATTCGTACATCCTTGCTTCTGAGACTCCAGTCTCCAGTCCATATCATCTGGAAACTGAACAAGATAGCCCTTAAATTTGTCATATTCCATAACCGTTCTGCGTATCCATCCAAGATACTTTGTTTCCCCATCAACTTTCTCCTCATATTCCACTTCTCAACTCTCTTGCCAATCATTGCCTCTCCCAACTTTATCCTGGATGACCGTGCCTCAAGTCTTGCCCTTTTATCACAGACGAATATTGTGCAGTTCATTAATCGCGAAGTCACCGATTCCCTCATATATTCACGTGAACATTTCGCAGTTAATTAATCACGAAGTCACTGATTCCCTAACATATTCAGACGAAAATTTCGCCGTTAATTAATCGCGAAGTCACTGATTCCCTACTATCTTCAGATGAACATTTCACACTTAATTAATCGCGAAGTCACCGATTCCCTCATTTATTACACGACTCGGGCAGTCAGAGGGCCAATAACTAAAATCAACCAATCAAAATGCTCCATTGCCGGTCCAATATTCTCTAACTATTGGACCGGGCACTGTCCCGAATGGTCCCAAATGATACCGCACTGTGTCCCTTTGAACTTCAGTCGTATAATAAATCTCTTATCAACCAAGCTTGCTCGGGACCATACTGGAAGAATATCGGCCCTCGGTCTTTTTTGTACGGACCGAGCTGCACTCGGTCCGTACTGTCAAGACCTTGGGTCGATATTCTCCCAGTACAGCCCTCGTGCTTGGTTAATAAGATATATATATTCAGACGAACATCTCGCAGTTAATTAATCGCAAAGTCACTGATTCCCTAACATATTCAGACGAACATTTCGCAGTTAATTAATCGCAAAGTCACCAATTCCCTCATATATTCAGACGAACATTTCGCAGTTAATTAATCGCGAAGTCACCTATTCCCTCATATATTTAGATGAACATTTCGCAGTTAATTAATCACAAAGTCACCGATTCCCTCATATATTTAGACCAACATTTTGCAGTTAATTAATCGCGAAGTCACTGATTCCCTTATATGCATATATGTTAAAAGCAAATAATTCGAGGTTAGGTAACAGCGAAATTTGGATCTGTTATATTACAAATCAAAATATTTTCAAAAATATACAGAGATGTTTCACTGCAAATTTTCATAATTTCTCTATAGATATAATTAATTACAAATTTTTTACTTACATTAATTCCCTTAAGTCTGCCTTCTCTTAATAAAGTGGGATCTTTGTCTAGTAGTTTGAGTTTAGATTTATCATTAAGTATACCAAAACAAGAGTCTAAGTAAATATTACGGTCTAAAATAACTACTCCATTACCTTTATCAGGCTTGAGAATTATAATTCTGGAATTGTTCCGATATGGTGTTTCTTTAGGTCGTTGCTTGAAGAAATATAGTTTTGAGCCAGATGAGCGATTTCAGTTTTTAGGTGCGTAGCGGAGTTTTCGTCCATAAGGTGTAGTGGATCTTTTCGAAGGAAGCCAGAATGTCTGTCTTGTTGAGAATGAGGAGGTTCAATAGAGAAACCTAGCCCATTCTTTAGAAGTTCAAGTTCATCATCAGTTAGATTAAGCGAAGAAAGATTGTTTACAGTTTCATTCGGTGAGAAGGGTAATACGGCATTCTTAGTTAGGTTTTCAAGTTTCTCTCGATAAGTTGAAATAACTTTGGAGATGTTCTTGTTGACATTTTTCTTTAAAGCTTTTTGTAGAAGGTACCAATCAACAGAATTCAGAGAGTTTTTTATGTGTTCAATTGACTTGTCACAATCACGGGTTAGTTTGTATTACATCATACTGTAAATATTTTATTCATCTACTTGTATGTTATATAATTACTCACGTTCAGTTACTCATTGATTGAAGATGGCATAAGCATGCCGAAACAGTAATGTCACTCAAAAAAGTTGTCTATTTCTTACAATAACTACCTGTTTGATACAATCACCCATTAAAATACCCTTCCTATGAGACAATTGTTTAATTATCCACAACATTTCTCACCTCGATCCCTTTCAACTTTACAAATGAGATCTACGGCACAAATATCAGGAGAAAGACTGCTACAAGCTGCACCAAAATGTGATTTCACCTTGCCAGATAATCAGTTATGTTTAACAAAACACATTACTGTTGGCACCATGCAGGTAGACAAAACCTTCAAGGTGACAAAATAAATCCAAAGATAGCCAGTATATCAGTGAAAACTTGCTAGTGTAACCTAGAAAGTTTTCAATACAGATCAAATCCCAACAATCAATTTTACTGAGTGCCTTTCAATCTATTTTATCTAACATATGGTAGAGAAATGTAGGATTTTACATAGTTCCTTCAATGTTCCACCCACTCAGATGGAATACTTACACTACAGCTTCACCAGCAAAATCATACATTCTTGTGATAGACACTTTTTGGTCTGAGCTTCCAGATGGCTACATCATAGATGTAGAAAAAAATGTTCAATATGTAAAGAAGAAAAAACTTTCATTGACTGTTGAAAATCTGTAGTAAACAAAAAGGTTGATTTAGCAACCCAAACCAGGTTAGTTGAAGCACAATATCCAATTATCCAGTACACAAGTAAACTGTATGTGTAGAGTTCACCCAAGGACACAATCACATCTCCCAAACTGCCTCATATGCCAAATATACATACTGCCATATATACATAGTGCCATAAAATTAACTTTGACTATTAAATGTAAACTTGAAGAATTATTAGATCAGTATACACAATTTTAAATCATGCACCTTTGAAGATTTTGATGGTACACTTCCAGCATCCCTTTTAAAAGTAGCCCACATATCTTCCTGTTTCCTTTTCTTGACAGCTTCCTCTTGTTGTTTAAAAGACATTTCTTGCTCTTCACCTTTACCATCATCCACATCATCTAACTCACACTGTCTAATTGAGAAAAAAAATATTGCAGCTGGAAAGAATTCTCATATAATACTTCTAGCAAGTAAATAAAAACAACAACTAAACTACAATAATTACTGAAACAATTGAATAAAGTTTTTTTGTTGTACGAGTGGACTTTGCAAGAAATGACAAGACAAAAAACAGGAATTACAAAAAAAAGAGAAAGAACTGAAACCAGGACCAGTCATAACAATGATCTCTTTATCCCATCTCTGAGGTCTAATACTTTCAGAATTGTGAATTCACCTTCCCTGGATCAGGATTTCCAAATTCTATTGATGAGTGGAGTCAGTGTGACTTCTGCTTCCCAAATTTTGGGGTCATTTTTTAATATTTCGAGTCAAGTATCACAATGAGAAAAGCAGTTTTATTCAATATTCCTAAACAAGTTTCTCACACTATTATAGTGTCTACTGGCTTGGTACATTAGATATTAAATTAATAATATAACAAACAGCAACATGTGAAAATGCCAAAAAGAGAATGCCAAAAACTAGCCCATGGTCCTGGCATGAACACACTCTCTTGACGGATGCACTAAATAGCCTTGGCCGGTCTGCTGGCCTGGAAAACTCAAATCCATGATGGCAAATGGGACAGGGCAGAATAATGAAATGCTGCATCAGAGGGTATTCGGTCAACAACACAGGCTAAAGTGAGTGAGGTCTAAAATTTAGCGAAATTAGCAGAAAATAACAAGGGCTGACATTAAAACCAAGGCATTTTGTTGCAGTCAAAGGCATTTTCCTCTTTCAAGTTAGTGTTACTTAAAGAGAAAATTAATTTTTGAAAACTTTTAGGGGGTGTACAAAGTTTTTGGAGGTTGTTCTGTCAAAGAAAAGCAGTAAGGTAAACAGTGCCTCACAGCAACAGAATAGGAAATCAACTATGCAAAATCCGTTTTCCATGGCAAAACTCAGTGTATGCACCTATGTTATTCTGCTGTGTGGGTGGATGTTGGTAATCAAGTAAACTTTGATTGTAATTTACCCTCCTCCTATTTTGTCATACAGTGTAACTGTTTAAGTCAGATGATTTAATTAAGGTCTACAACATTTGTAGTATTTGTTGCCAAAAAGGTAATGAAAAAACTTGTTAGGGAGAATGCGTTGCATTACTGAATTGCTAAAAATAAAACTGAAGAAGTTTCTAGAATGCTTAGTTATGCTGACTAATTGAGAACTTTTAGATACAATGTATATATGAAGTTCATATATTTTGAAATGCGGTATTAAATACGTATGATGCACGATCCTCGCAGTAGAGAGCACTATTTATGCAATAGTGAAAATCAGACCTAAAAAAAATCAGGCCTGTACGGGATTCGAACCACTGACCTCTGCGATACTAGTGCACGAATCAACTTAACGACTTGCTCCCAGTTGGCTTGTTAGCTCAATTGGTAGAGCGCTGCACTAGTATCGCAGAGGTCAGTGGTTCGAATCCTGTACAGCCCTGATTTTTTTCAGGTCTGATTTTCGCTATTGCATAAATAGCGCTCTCTACTGCAAGGATCGTGCATCATACGTGAGAACTTTTAATAGAGTTTTCTAGAACCCTTAGTCAGCATATTTGTTATGATGCAATAGAAATGTAATGTTGCTAAAAATAGTTGTATTACCGATCCCTAGAATGTTCTAGAACCTCCTGTAAAACATATATAAGGAGTCACGATTGGTTAAAGTCAGGCCTTTTTCAGTGAGTTAGTGTTGTTGTGAAGAGCCAAGAGGAGCTAGTGTTATTACAGAGCCGGACTACAGAGAATTGCTGGAATTTATTTACTGTTACTGGAGTCGTCAGCCGTGTGGAAGGCTAAATTGAGAAAAGTTTTGTGGACATTGATGAGTTCCAAGGATCTTTGAAGAGAACTGTGAGTTGTGCAATAGTGTACTGAGATCATAGTTTTATAGAGGGCTCTAGGATAAGACATTAGTTATTGTATTGGTTATTGGTATCGTTCCATAATAAGATTATTACATCAGTTAATAAAGTAGTTCAGTTAGTACGAGTTTTATCTTTCTGTTGGTCTACAAAATACCGTAACAAACTTTGTTTGCTACCGAAGATTTCTGGAATCGAAGTGACCTCAGCAGAGTAGTGTATTTGTGAATCTTGCTTGATTTTCAACCATTACAATAAGGCTTGAAGTAAGATTTTCCGTATATACAGACAAGTTTTTCCTCTTTACTGGGTTTTCATTGAGAAATATAGTAGCTTGAAAATAAGCAGTGTAAATTAACAAGAGAATATTCTCAACACCTGAAAAAGAAGTCATAACCCAAGCTATCAAAATCTAATGGGAGAATACAGTACAGTAACCTGAAAATTCTTTGCTCTCCAGCTCCCAAAGAATACCTTGCCTTACCCTAAATACTGGACATCTCAAACCTTCAGTAAACTTTCAATTTATTGTGCTTATAGTGTCATCATTTTCTCTCTATATATATTAAGTCCCATGTTCAATAAATAAATAAAATTATCCTTAATAACAAACCAAGAATATAGCTAAGAAAAATTACTTAATGACAATATTGATTATCTAGCCAGACTATAATCAGCTTTCATTGAATACTTCCATACCAATTTATTTCTTTCCACTTTTCTTACCCTGATCTTTTGTTTGCACTCTTTTTCACTTTGTACTTTTTATTATCTTCATCTCCACTATGCTCTTCATTGCTATCCTGCTCTTCTCACGGAAACAACAATATGAACAATAATCATGAATACATTGCATGTTTTGGGGTAAAACCTTCCTTACCTAAGGTTACCAGTACCATTAGCATGGTTTTAAGTCATTCCTTATTTTGCTGCTAAGACTTGGAACGTGCTATACGCACAAAGGCTGGCACAAGAACGTTTCTTCATGATATCCGTCGCCTAAAATTTGAAGTTTTTAGTTTTTTGATCTCTGTTTTACTACATATGTATACAAATATATACTTCAATTTGCGATATCCTTTTTGTAATAATATTTTACTTAATATACATGATTCTTAATGTAGGTTGTAATTTTTTATTGAATATTTTGCTGTGGGCTCCCTGGAAAGTAGCTTGTAGCTAAGTGTGGTGTGACATTTAATAAAGAACGACTACTACTACTACTACCACGACTACTACTACTGCTACCACGACTACAACGACGACGACTATGACTACGACTACGACTACAACTACGCCTATGACTATGACTACGACTACGACTATGACTACGACTACTACTACCACTACTACTACTACTACCATACTACTACTACTACTACTACTACTACTACTACTACTACCACAGTTAACGTATTTTCTTGGTTATAAGGCGGCTCAGTTATAAGACGCACCCCAAACTTTGCAACTTAATCGAGCCAAGTTCCCAAACTGAATATCACATGAAAATACTTGGTTATAAGACACACCAAAAGGTTGAGAGTTAACAAAGTTGTGATGGATCTGAGAAAGTTTCACGGTTGCTCTGGCAGTGAAAGCAAATGGTGTAAAACTCCCACCAAAAGTCATATTCAAAGGTGTTCAACAGCTGAATATCAACACGCCACCAAGGATGCTCGTTTCAGTGCATAAAAAAGGCTGGACGGAAGAAGAAGGCAGGTTTTATATCCACATCATTTATTCAGAGAAGGAACTTTTTGAACAAGTGACACAAACACAATTCTAGGAATTTGAAATGAGGTTTTTTGTCATGGTATCATGTTACCAAGCACGTGCTGTTATTTACAAATTTCTGTTTGTTTGCTTTTCTGTTTTTCTTGTAAGTTTTGCTAAAATTGTGACCTTAAGATTTAGTTGCACAAAAATACTTGGCTATAAGAGGCACCCAATTTCAGCACTAACTTTCCACCCAAAGACAGAATTTTCTTCAAAAAACTGTGCGCCTTATAACCGAGGAAATATGGTACCTAGTTTGAAAAAAAAGAACCCTTGGTTTCAAACATAAAACCCCATATTTGGTATGACATTGTCATGCATAAAAAAGGGCCAATTATAAAATAGGTCAAGCAGCAAGCTTATGCCTAAGAGATCTGCTAGCTACTTCTCCCCACTTATGATGCTGCATCTTGTACTGTTTTGATTACTCTGGTATCATGTACTAATGTACCAACAGAAGTGAAATTACTGTTTGATTGCTATATGAGGTAAAAGTACTGTCAGCAAGTTAGATGATTGTACCAAGTTACTAGGATAGTTGATCATTGAATAAGGACAGACTGTCCAAACAACAAACTAAAAGTAGTTTCTAACATGCCTGACTGAATATTGGTAGTTGTGCATTTAAATCTTTTAAAGAAATTCAGTGCTGATCAGTCTCAGAGGGGAAGAGTTATCCTCAATGCCTATCAAAGCAAACTTTGCTATTTTTTTCTATCCTTATCCCTTAATGAATAAATCTTCAGCACCTCGCAGACAATTCTTTCTCCAAGAAAAACAGGCTAAAAACCATTTTTCGGCATATTATGTCCAGCATGATTATTTAAGTAGAGAACGTTATTTTGAATAGAAAGTGGCAAAATTAACAACGACTTGACTGACTCAGGGCCACTTTAAAAACATAGTGCAATCAATAATGTCACACAACATGATTACTGTAACCTAAAGAAGATTACACGTTTGATTTTGTGTCGGTACCTTATCCTATCTGTGTACAAACTTGCTCTTGCTTTGCCTCAATCGATGTAAAACTATCGTTTTGCCTTTAAAAATTAGAAAAATCCTAACCTGGTACATAATCCTCGTCTTCACTGCTGTCAGCTGCTCTATGATCTGTGTCCGACATTTTTACCGTCTTTCTGATAGGAAGTATGTGGTGTAAGACATCCCATAGCGTCATGGATTCTTCCACGGTTGTGGCTACAAATATATGTTGTCGAGCTAAGTGAATGCATCCTAGGTACTAAAAGTTGGAATCACCTGAAACCACCTGAAACCATCTGAAACTACCTGAAACCATCTGAAACCATCTGAAACCATCTGAAACCATCTGAAACCATCTGAAATCATCTGAAACCATCTGAAACCATCTGAAACCATCTGAAACCATCTGAAACCATCTGAAACCATCTGAAACCATCTGAAACCACCTGAAATTTACTTAGGCAGTGGAAGTTAAAGCCACCATTCATCAGCTATATTCTGTCATTTGCAGTAAACTACCTCGCAAAAAATCCACATATATTTCACTTTTGCAAAAACAAAGTCAGGGAAATTCTAGGTCAAGCTATAAATTCGTCTCTGATTAAAAAGAAACACAATGTTCAAAATTTCCTTAGGAAGTTTGAAAATCTTCAGGCCTTCCTGGGCTTTTTCATATATAATTTGCATGATCCCGTCGAAAAAACTTTACGTATTTCTTTCGATTTAAAACAGTTTCTTCTTTGCATTCGCGATCGCATGTTGTTATCGTCACGCAAGTGCATTGACAAGAAATGAATTCGAATATTCCCGTGCAACTCCCAGCCATTCGTAGAGCTAATTGAGTGTGTTTTCAACAAGAACAATGGAATGTTTCCTTGAAGACCTGTTTGTGGTGCCTATTCTGTACTGTAGGGCATTATATACGATATCCGTAAGCCGGGCTCCCTGTGGATAAACTCGATTGTTAACACTTATTTTCTGACGGTACCCGTAGTTTTTTTAGGTACTTTCATGTTGTTTTAAATTGTTTCGAGATATTTTCGGTAATTTCAGATGGTTTCCTTGGGGGTTTCAGGTGGTTTCAGGTGGTTTCGTCGGTGGTTTCAGATGGTTTCAGATGGTTTCGGGTGGTTTCAGATTGTTTCAGGTGGTTTCAGGTGGTTTCAGCTGATTCCAACTTTTAGTACCTACGGTGAGTGCATAGTTAGCTAACTATGGTTTGCCGATGATGCGAAAGAATTCAAGCAGATCAAATCCGCTGAAGATGTTGCTGTTCTACAAACTGATTTCGACCACCTTGAGCCCTTGACATTAGACCTCCGTTCCTCCTTTAATGAGAAGAAATGCAAGTCCCAGATGATCACGAGAAAGATCCACCCTGCTGTTTCGTCATATACCATCAAGGACAGCCCTCTGGAGTGCGTGACGACCGAATGGGATCTCGGGGTTTACGTATCGGATGATTTGACCTGGAGCCATCATGTAAATGAACAGACGGGCAGAGCTAATAAACTGTTGGGATACATTAAAAGAAATACTCGAACTATACAAGATACAACCTTAAGACGCTTAATGTACTTAACATTGGTCCGGCCGCTGTTCGGTTACGCCTCGCAAATTTGGGCACCCCAATCCGTGAATCTCATCCCTTGTATTGAGAGAACGCAAAGGCGCGCAACTAAATACATTCTGAAATTGCCTTTTATGAGCCCTGTTTCTCATAAGGAAAGATTGAAATCGTTGAAGTTGCTTCCCATAGCATATTGGCTCGAATATCTTGATATGGTATTTTTCTTTAAACTGGCACGGTCTTGTTAAAGTAGATAGCAACATTGTTCCCCGTATTCGATCTACCGGAAGAAACACGAGATCGAACACTAATGTCATCAAATACACAGTCAGTAGATATAGAACTTCAACATTTCAGAAATCTTTTCTTATCAGATCTACGCGAATTTGGAACACACTTGCCGATGAACTTGAGCTTAACATGGACAGTATCTATTCTTCTTTGGACTACTATGAGGGGATACTATGATTCCGCCCTTAGTGCTACCTACGATGTTAATAACCCCCGTTCGTTCAAAACTGTATGTCTCAAGTGTAATCATTGTAGAAGTCTTGCTATGCCCATTACATGCTGTATGTAATTGTACCTACTTTTAGATCTTTTTTAGTTGTTTGTGTAATTGTATCTATTTAAAAATTTTTTTTAGTCGTTTTCTTTCTCGGGGCTTGCAGTAACTGGTTACTCGCTTTTGCGGTTCCCCTGCCATACTTTGTAGCGGAGAAGTTAATAAATAAATAAAATAAATAAATGGGTCCTTGTAAAATTAAGGATTAATATCACTTGCGTTTTCAGAAGTTTCTGAAATTGCCCTCTTCGCTGCACGACTCGGACAATTTCAGCAACTTCTGAAAACACGCGTGATATCAATTCTAAATTTTACTCGGCCCCATGCGATTACCTATACAAACTTTTTTTCATTGCAGAGATATCTCAATAGGTGTGATCGACGCATCATGAAACTTCGCGGAAATATTTTCTTTGATAAGAGATTATTTTACCGTTTAAATCAGCAAATCAAGTAGATCCGAAAATATAATTTTCAATTCTTGTATGACACTACAACAGACGATAAGCATCTCAAAATAATTCCATAGTAGCATCCTCCGACGCACAATTTGAATCAAAACTTTCCTCGCAGAAATAGATGTGATCTGCACATCATGGAGGCAACTTGTGCCGAAAAGAGCCGCCAAGGGAACAGGCAAGCTGCAAAAAGGCGATACCTCGAGTTAGTCAACAGAATCATCGAACGGAGGAACGTTGGATATGGGGAATGACGAAGTATCCAAAAACAACGAATGTCTTTGTATCGACCAGAAATCTCTTTTTTAATATTCTATTTTTATCCAACTGTGCCTCGTAGAGTACAAATAACGCGCGAGACGAGTACTAACATCACGACAAATAGCCCCATAAAGGAGCACTCTTATGAAACTTCCCTATAATTTGAAAACCCGAAAAATTCATTTATTTCATTATAATATGAATTTTTAGCGATTTATAAAGCCTTTTCAATAATTATTTTAGTTGAAAGTCAACTCTTGGGCGAGAAATTACGATTTGAAAACGGTCCCACCATTAATTTTCGAACTCACAGCCAACTTATCTTCGGTCAGCGGTCACTCCCATTGTGACGTAGATAACTGAAAACACTGTTGGCGTCATTTTATATTTATAGGGAAACCTCGTGAAATTTAGTGAAATAGTCTTAGTCTTGGTGTTATAAAAGCAATATATACGATCAAAATACTGTTTTGAATATGGTTGAGCACTCTCTTGCGCGTCAAATGAGTCATCTACGTCACGCTCAAAACTCGCCCCAGTCTTCTTGAGTCTGGCAATTGATTACGTAAACTAATGGTTTGTCAAAAGAAAATCGCGAATTTGACGATCTTCCTGTGTGACAATTCTGAAAAAACAAATTCAGAGACGATTAACTAGTGGACATTTCAAGTTTTTATGTAAAAATCTTTGGATTTTTCGCGTTTCCAAATTACAGGGAGGTTTCATATTTAATATATTAAATATGGCGGGAAGGAGAAGCATTTTGCTTTCTCCCAAATGTATGGCCTGGCTTGCTTTATTTATAATCCTTTGCTATAATAAACCAGCTAAAGACCAAGATAGTAGGTTAGTCAATGTTTTCATTGCAAGTGCTCTCAATATCAAGCACTTTCCAGCCCGAAATTCTTGCATTTCAAGAAAGTACGTGAAACGAACAAGAATCGCGCCATCTGCAAAATGCCTGACAGCTATAAATCTTGGGAAAATTGCTCTCTTGGCCGCTTATTTGGTTTTACTATCAGACGATGTGATGACTAACCCCAGACTTTCTTATTATACGAGTGATGTACCAACGTTTCTACAGAAACCGGGCCTCAAAACTGCACAGTTTAAACATCAGGAGCCTACCTAGACATCTAGACGAACTAAAGATCTTACTTCTGGACCATCCCTTTGATATTATTTGCCTGAATGAAACATGGCCGGCACAACAGCTCTTGGACCGACAATCAACTTGCCACTGACGGCTATAATTTGGTAAGGAATGATCGACCAGATGAACAGAGAGGCGGCGGAGTAGCAATATATTACAAATCAAAGTTTAATGTTTGCCCTCGCCTGTGTAGACACAGGCTTGAAACTGTCTGGATCGAGATCAATTTCCTCAATAAAAGTAAACTACTAGTATCTTCACTATACAGACCGCCTAACGTTGATCTGAACAGCTTTGTACCTAATCTGGAGAAAACTTTTGACGTCGCATCAAGCAAAGGCGATGAAATATTACTGCTAGGAGACTTAAACTACGATCTATCTCCAAAGAAACTGCCTCACGATACAAAAGAAGTCATCAAGTTGTTTAACATCTATCAATTTTCCCAACTTATTGAATCACTGAAACATCAAAAACTTAAACTGACGTAGCATTTATAACCAACGCTGACAAAATTGTTACTTCTGACGTTTTAAACTGTTCTATTAGTGATCACCAACTTGTTTACATTGTCCGATGAGCGAAAATTCCCAGAGGAGAAATAAAGACTGTGCGATGTAGACGCTTTAATAACTATTCTTCTCAAAATTTTGCTGATGATCTGCACTCTGCCTCTTGGGAAAACATTGACACCTCCCTCACAGTAAATCATGCTTGGATGGCCTTCAAAAGAATCTTTATGGAAATAGCGGAGAAACACGCCCCCCCCCCTCCCCCTCACGACAATGAGAATTTGATCTTCTACTCTTCCATGGTTATATGAAAACATCAGAAATCTGATTAAGGAGAGAAATTTTCACCACAAGAAGGCACAAAAATCTGGATCTTGCGATGATTGGGCCACTTATAGAGCTATCGGAAATAAAGTAGTATCTCAGATTCATAATGCTAAACGTAACTACTATTCCAATTTGATTGAGGAAAACAAAAACGATTCAGGGAAACTTTGGAGCGCCATGAAGTCAGCTATTTCATCTGGTACCCGTTCAAGTCAGATTGAAACTCTTGTTAAGATGAAACAATTTTTAGTGTAATAGAAAAATGCGAGCTCCAGATGGGCCACTTATAGAGCCAGCGTTGGTTATCTATCTCCAAAGAAACTGCCTCACGATACAAAAGAATGATCCAAAAGACGATACAAAAGAATGAATGTACAAAAGAAGATCGAAACTCTTGTTGTCGACGGAAATATTATCACAGAACCCAAGACGTTATCTTCTCATCTGGCTTCATTTTTTAACACCATGATTGGAAATCTAAGAGAGGGTTTATTGCGAGTTAGTACCTTTATTATCCCAGCTCAAACAAGATTGCCACCATCGTTCAAGCTCTCTCAGATTGAACCAGATTTTGTTAAAAAGCATTTGAAGTCCTAAAAAGTGAAAAAGGCAACAGGCATCCCAGGATTACCAGCACGACTTCTAAAGGATGGCTCAGACGCAATATCTGAGCCCCTTACCTTGCTTATGAATAGATCTTTACGTGAAGGCTATGTACCAGATGAATGGAAGCACGCCCTTGTAACACCCGTACATAACGCTGGTAGTAAAAGTGATCCATCTAACTACAGGCCCATATCTGTTCTACCTGTATTCTCCAAGATCCTTGAAAGAGGGGTACACAAAATGGTTTATGACCATCTACACCATCTACAGCTCAACAACTTGCTGTCTCCATCACAGCCTAGCTTTCGCCCTCTCCACAGCACTTCAACTTGTTTGACACATGTAACTAACACCGTTTTACAGAATATCGATAAAGGATTGTTGACTGGACCAGCATTCTTAGATCTTAGCAAGGCTTTTGACACTCTCGACCACAACCTTCTTTTAGATAGGTTGGTGCAGTCTTTTCCTTTTTCTACCTCTGCCAGACAATGGTTTTTCTCGTACTTAACCAGTTGTTCTCAAAGCGTTTGTGTTAATAGATAGTCTCAGAGCCTCACTGAGAAAATCGATTTTGGAGTCCCCCCAGGGTAGCCTTTTAGGGCCCTTGCTCTTTATAATGTATATTAATGACATATCTCATGTCTATTTATTAACTTATTTATACTCAAATTCAATTACACAGATAATCAAAACAAAAACAAAAACAAGGAGTTGAATATATATATATATATATATATATATATATTATGAGAGGAAAAAAGGACGTAACTACATTTCCCTATATATCTCTATATATATATATAGGAAAAATGTTGTAGTACACGAGGACGGACAACTTCGAGCTAAGAAAGACATATNAAAAAAAGTATAAA